AGAAAGCTCGATTAGCTTTTGCCAAGTTGCGTCACTTATGGCGTAGGCGAGATATCCGTTTGCTGACCAAAGGACGGGTGTACTGCGCAGCAGTTCGCTCCGTTATCCTATATGGATGTGAAACATGGCCGTTAAGAGTAGAGGACATTTGTAGGTTACTGGTCTTCGATCATAGGTGTCTTCGTGTATCCTGGGACAACCGAGTAAGCAATGCTGTCGTTAGGAAACGAGTACCAGGTAAGGATGACAAATCAATAGATGAAGCATTGAAACTTCATCGATTGAGGTGCTTGGGACATGTGCTGCGTATGCCTAACCACCGACTGCCTCGACGAACTATGTTTTGCAGTGTAGGAGTAGGTTAGAAGAAAGATAGGGGCGGCCAAACCAAAACAAGTCACAAATCCATGAAGTCACTGACAAGTCGACTGAGTCATGTGTGCAGATATAGACTACCTGGTTTAGGTCCGCGAGACGAAAGTCACCAATGGTTAGAGACCTTGAACCACATGGCTCAAATTCGTTTGCAATGGTGCAAGTGCATCCATTTGTTGTGCTCTCTCAAATCCTAATCTTCTTGATTCGTCAGCACCTCTACCTTTGTCTTTCTAACCTTATCTCACTGAATTATACCTCTTGAATATAATATTGTCGAACCCTAGTCTTCTTCATTACCATTGATACCTCTACTATCTCTATCACTATTGGATTTGATTTGACATTTGTATCTCTCTGTGCTGATGTGATATGGCAACATGAACTTATGTACATAGGTACGAAGTTCTACGTTGCAACTGACTGACTGAGAAGATGACTGTTTCCGTTTTTTCATGAGTCACCCCCTTTTTCGAGGAGTAGATGTAAATTCGTCTGTATATTTTCTGAGAATAAAATCATCATGAATAGATTTACTTTCGTTTTTACAATTGAAGTTATGGAGATTAGTGTTTTTACACATTTGAAATCATCAGTCAAATCTTGTTAGACTCCACCATGAGAAAACTTGAAAACACTGAAGGACGACCGTTTCGTCCTCTGGTAGAGGACTCATCAGCAGTGCGTCTCCAAGCCTCCTGCTACTACTGGCAGGATTTGAACTCATAACTTCCGGTCTTGCGTGCGAACGCAAGAACCACTGAGCTAGCTGATATCCAACGGTGTTGTTAATGTCTAACTCTGACAAGCCTAAGAATTAGGCGCAACTTCACCCATTCACTTTACTTAATAAATTCATCTCGTTTTATTTGATTAGAACGATTAAATTATTAACAATTTTTACATTCACAGTTAGCTTGTCAATTAAAATTTTCGACTTTAAATAATAACAAACTTATAAACTATTCAAATATATATATATAAATTTGTTTATTGTGAAATACAAGTGAAATACACTTTAGCTAGGTTTATATAAGTTTATCAAAAAAAAATTTTCAAACGTTTACATTACACTTCATATTATAATAATAATGTATTGTTTTTGTTATTAAGACCAAAAATAAATCACACACACACACACACACAATTTCGGACATTTAATTATGTCAAATCAGAGTTAATCAAGGAAAGCCAACGGTTCCACATAGCTATCTATATACATGTGTAATGTTTATGTGACTAGTATAGATTTCTAGGCGGGGGAATTGAATACATTTCAAAACATGTTAACAGTTTTTACACCTAGATTTGACAATAGATATCAACAATTTTAAACATATGCTTGCATTGTTCCGGATGCGATACTTCTGGTTGAACTCTAGTGATAGGTAGTGAAGCAGTGGAGCGCGTCGACTGCTTCACATATCTCGGGAGTCTGATCAGTGCTGATGGCCTTGTAGTGAATGAGAACACAGGTGGGGCAACAGAATTGTATTTAACGAAAATTACAGAGTTACTCAGTAAAATCGGAAAACCATATCGTAAATCGTTCATTTGCAAAATATCAGTTCATCATATCGAACTGGACTGTTCCTGTTGCCAAACATCAATCCATTGTCACTATTCATGCGTTTCATACAAATTCCATTGTTTTCTAACTCTTCCTTTCTTGATCTTCCCCCCATCTTCTTCTACCAGACATTACATTGACACTCACGTCATATACTACTTATAAGTAGTTCGCACCACAGCACCACAGCCTGGTGTGTGACAAAATGTCAGCGCGGATATAGAAGGCTCGACTGACTTTTGCTAACTTGTGTCACTTATGGCGTAGGCGAGATATCTATCTGATAACCAAAGGACGAGTCTTCTGCTCAGCAGTTCGCTCAGTCCGACTTTATGGCTATGAAACATGGCAAGTAAGAGCAGAAGATATTCGTAGGGTACTGATGTTCGATCATAGGTGTCTTCGATTCATTGCGCGTTTATCCTGGAACAACAGAGTAGGCAACGCCATAGTTAGGATATGGGTCTCAGGTAAGGATGGCAGATCAATAGATGAAGTATTGAAACTTGATCAGTTGAGGTGCTTGGGATACATGTTAAGTATGCCTAACCACCGACTCCCTCGTCAAGTTATGCTTTGTGATGTAGGAATAGGTTGGAAGAAAGTTAGGGGCGGCCAGACCAAAACAAGGCACAAATCCACGAAGTGTCATTGACAAGTGGACTGAGTCATGTTGGTAGATGTAGACTAAGCTGGTTAGGGTCCGCGAGATGATAGTATTCGGTGGTTAGAGACCATGAATGACATGGCTGAAAACCGTTTACAATGTCGTAGGTGCATTTATTCTTTGTATTCTCTCGAATCCTAATCCTCTGAATTCAAAATCACCTTTGTCTTTCTCTTTTTAAGTTCATTTCACTAAACTATACTTCTTGAATAATATCTTCGAACCTTAATTTCTCTGACTACTGCTGAAACCTTTACTACCTCTACAACTATGAGATTTGAATCGACAATTGCATCTCTCTGTGCTAATGTGGTATGGCGACATGAACTGGTGTACGTAGTACGTACGTACGAAGTTCTACGTTGTAAATGACTGACTGATTGACTGAAAGTAAGCATTTATGACTTTTTGTTTAGCTTAGCAAAGCAAAGCGCACTTGATCACCAAACTAGTTCTGATATTTTAATCAACCTATTATTCATAACATCTAGGTTGCTTAGTAATTCAAATACGTTCAGTTTATTTCTGTTTTGTTCCAATTGTCTATTTTTTCAAATTATTTAAATAAATTGATCATTGTTTTAGACTATCAATAGAAGAAACTTGAAAGCACTGAATAGGTATTTCGTCCTAGTATGGGATTTATCAGTTCGATTCTTGTGAGCCAGGGTCCTGGATGCACACTATCACAGATGAGTCCACTGCTCGGGTGAAACGGCCATCCAGTACTATTAGGTTTCTCCTAATAATGGTCTTACAATGAAACTCAATAATTTCCATAGCCTCATAATGAAAATCCAGAAAATGTGCTCACTAGTGACTGACGGAGTTTAAGCCTATGAGGTGTAGGCAGTATTTACTGAAGACAGTGGGTAAGGATGTGCGAATTCACGGACTGATTATAGTTAAACATTCAGTCAGTCAGTCAGTCAGTAAGATGTAACGTAGAACTTCGTACGTAAGTACATCAGTTCATGTTGCCATTATCAAATCAGCACAGAGATATAATTGTCAATTCAAATCCAATAGTAGTAGATGTAGTAAAGATATTAGAAGTAATCGGAAAGGTTAGGATTAGAAGATATTATTCAAGAAGTATGATCCAGGGAGATAAGTTAAGGAAGTCAAAACTAGAGGTGTTGAAGAATCCAGAAGATTAGGATTTGAAAGAACACAACGAATGAATGCGCCTGTGTCGATGTAAACGGTTTTGAGACATGTCATTCAAGGTCTCTAACCATCGATTATTATCATCTCGCGGACCCCAACAAGGTAGTCGACAACTACCGACATGACTCAGTCCACTTGTCAATGACTTCATGGATTTGTGCCATGTTTTAGTTTGGCCGCCCCTAACTTTCTTCCAACCTATTCCTACACTACAAAATAAAGCTCGTCAAGGCAGTCGGTGGTTAGGCATACGTAGCATGTATCCCAACCACCTCAACTGATGAAGTTTCAGCACTTCATCTATTGATCTCGCATTCTTACCTAGCACCCATTTCCTAACAACAGCGATGCTCACTCGGTTGTCCCATGATACACGAGCAATGCTTCGAAGACACCTATGATCGAAAACCAGTAACCTATGAACATCTTCTACTTTGACTGGCCATGTTTCAAAGCCATAAAGTAAGACGGAGCAAACTATTGCATAGTACACTCATCGTTTTGTCAGCAAATGGATATCTCGCCTACGCCATAAGTAACGCAGGTTGGCAAAAGCCAATCGAGCCTTCTGTATCCTTGATATAGTTAAACATTAGCACTGTTAGATGTTGGACTAAGGGTCTAAGAGGTCGAAGTTCCTGAGTTCGATTTCCGCATGCGGGGGGGGCATTTGGGCACACAGTTGATATATCCCAAACTAGGACGACTTCCGCAACTCACATATATGTACATATTGTTTATTTCCCCCTAATTAATTTTATTTTTATACGCTTTTTTAAAAAAATTTTTCTATTCCCCTTTTTCACTATGCATGCATTATTGATTTCCAATATTTTTTTTCATGTATTGGCTGCAATTATTCCCGTTAATCTGGTTTATTCGCTCGTCCGTTCGCTTCCTCGCACGTCCGTCCATCCGTCCCTCCGTTCATTCGTTCATTGATTCCTATTCACTTTTATCGACTGATTGTCATTTCATTATGGCTACCATTTCATGCTAACTACTACTACTAACAATATATACTACTACTAATACTACTAATAATACTCCTTCCTAATGGCATGATCGTACCAATGCATAATGTACATGTATACTCTCTCTCGCATAAAATGTTGTCGCCCATGGGGGGATTTATACATTACTAATATAAAATCACTGTCTATATATATATACATGTTCTATATTATGTTATGTAATGTTTATAACCAAACTATTCAGTACGTCAATACACTCAATTATGCTTACATAATAACAATCGTTATAATTGTGTTGTGGATGAATTAGAAACCGAGTAAGTTTCATTGTAATTGCTTATACTGTGGAATATTTATTCATTAATATACAGAGAGTGTGTGTCTGCGTGCGTGATTGTGAGTTTTCTCTTGAAAATATCCACCGATCACAACCTATTTATTTGTGCATGTTAGATATAGACAGATATATATATATTTTTCTAATAACGACCAACATTTGTACAGTCATTGATAATTGAACTTTGACAATATGTAGATGTGATTGTTTGTCAGTTTTTTCATTTTCATGGTTAAAAATGATTTTTGTAATTATTATATCTGAATTCAGTGAGTGACATTGTCAGCGTTTTGCTAATCTCGTCGAATTCAGTTCAAAATTGATTTCTGTTACATTGTATTTCATGGTAATCACATGAAAAACACGTGTTCCATTTACAACAGCATTGTCAAATGATTGTTAACAGTGTAAGAAAGAGTTGTGTAGGGGAGATTGATGAGTTACTTTTTTTTACTGAAGTCGTGTATTGATCAATGATAAGGTCATCATTAGAAACATGGAAGCATTGAAAGACGACCGTTTCATCCTGATATTGGCATCCAAGACTCCTGCCATTCGCAGGATTCGAACCTATGATCTTCGGTATAGTACGAAATCGCCCAACATCTAATGCTGTTAATGTCCAACTTCGACTAATCCATCGTGTCGCGTGACCTCATCCACTGTCTTCAGTGAGCATTCGAACAGGGTTGAACTCTATTGGTCATGAGTTCTCACTGAAAATCGGAGAGACTTCCTCATGGAGCTAGTCACTAGTGAGCACATGATAATTTGCTTGAAACGGGTTGTAGAGTTGTGGATGCACACTGCTGATGAGTCTCAGCCAGTGGATCATTGTCTGAGTCTGTTTTAATGAAGACGTATAGTGTAGTAGTGTGGTAGTAGCAAATATTCAAGTGAGAACCTTGAAGGCCGAGGTGGAGAAGTGTTCCATGGGAACAGTAGTTGTCCATGGGTCAGGCGGTCCTACGTAATCCGGTAAATCGGAATGGAGACGGGGTGCCTGACATTGTCCGTTCGCGGGCTTTGTTCAGTATTCTGCAAAGTACTGTGTATGCAAACGATTATGTAGTTAGCAATTCAAATCGACGCTTATTGATCGTACGAAACTAGATTTTGACAAAAAATAGCGGTACAAAGATTGCAAATGAACAACGGACAAAGTAACCAATTGCTTGTTGACAATATAACAGACACGCACCTAATATTCAACTTATACTAAAGATGAGTAAAGGTGGTTGATATCATTGGAATTTAATGTGAGTATGCAGACGTTCATTGGTTGATTACCGGATGATAAAAAAATTGGAACTGTACTTCATTCCCGACTGTATATATGCACACTTTCGAAACTATGAAGTTAGATGTTATTATCTAAAGGTTGAAGATCCTGTTTTATTACATGAGATGTTATTTTCTGTGTGAAATATAACAAGCTTCAAAATTGTATTCGGGTGCCGGCCCAGTGATCCAGAGGTTAGGCGTTCGCGCGCACAAGACCAGGTGTCTCTGAATTCAAATCCTGCTAATAGTAGCAGGAGTCGTCAACGTGCACTGCCATTGATAAATAATTCCATACCAAGACGAAATAGCCGTCTTTCAGTGCTTCCAGGTTTCTAATGTTAGTGATTCATTGATGATTTCAATGAGTAATAACTGTATTGAAAATCTGTATTTAACTGTTAGGATATTCATCCAATATCCTCAGAGAATTATTGATCAATTCCTATTGGTTAATTCCTAATGTTCAATTTTATGGTCGTCCTAGATATCAATGTCACTTGCTCCAATGTTGTTTCTTATTGGTCATCCTGACTATTAATGTTACTTCAAATGTTGCTTCCTATTGGTCATCTTAACTGTCAATGTCACAGAATTCGATGCTGTTTCCTATTCGACCAAAATGTATAAATACGCATTATGTGTAACGTTTTTTGACCACGACCAGGACCAGGTCCCGGATCCCTAATCCGGGATGCTGATTCTCTTCTGGATTCAGACCTCGTACTTTCTGAATGCTTGTAGAATACAGGTTCTACTTCATATCAAGTCTTCTTATTTTTACTCAATATGGGAGTTGTGATAATCGGATTCGAGTAGCATGTCGTGTCGCCGGATCCTCGCTGTTGTTTTTCGACTAATGTAAACTCGTAATAGTTCAAGCATATCAAGATGACGTGTCTATATGTAGGCGTAACATTAACTAGTTGTGAGTCGTGAAATTCTGTGGTGGTATTACATTGAATTGCTTCTGTCTCGTCTACACTCATAAAACGTTTATCTATATATGTATAAAACGTATTCCTTCTACAGAAAATACTCGATATACAGTATATTTCTCATTGAATGAGAATTACCATCACGGTCAGGAACATTTCATCATAGTCTGACATTGTATCAGTCACTTTTAAATAGTTACTACCATTTTCAAGGTTCAATCTTATTTTCGATTTGTTTAAATCAAGAAAAAAGTCACTAGTAAATTATTTATTTGTATATTATTCAAAATTAAAATTTTTTCTAAAAAAAGGTTTAATAATCAAATGTAACTAACTGTATCACATTTTAAATTAGCCATTTGTAAATATATTTATGTACTTTGTCTAGTTTATATAAACAATTCATGTACGGCGCCAAATATATAATGTATGTGAACACATTCGTAAAATGTCGATCACTGTGAATGTGAAACCGGAAAATGTTATATCTTAAGGTGTGTATAACACTTAATCCTAACCTCTCCGATAACTTCTGATACCTTTAACTACCTCTACTACTATTGGGTTTCAAATTGTCAATTACATCTCTGTGCTAATGTGATATGGCAACATGAACTGATGTACTTACGTACGAAGTTTTACATTGCACCTGACTGAGAGAGAGGTGATGAAGAATCTAGAGGATTAGAATGTGAAAGAACACAAAGAGTGGATTACCTGGTGCATTCCAAACGATTTTGTGCCGTGTCATACAAGATCTCTAACTAACGATGATTATCATCTCGCGGACTCCAAGCAAGTAGTCTATCTACGTCTACAAGCATGACTCATTTCAGTTGTCAGTGACTTCATGGATTGCTGCCATGTTTTTGGTCTGACCGCCTCTAACTTTCTTTTAGCCAAACTCTGCACCACAAAACATAACTCGTTAAGGCATTTGATGGTTGGGCGTTCATGACACATGTCCCAACCATTTTACTTGATGAAGTTTCATTACTTCATCTATTGATCTGCCGTCCTTACCTAGTACACCCTTATCCTAACATTAGCATTGATTACTCAATGCTCCCAGGATATACGACCAGTGCTTCTGTGGCACTTATGATCGAACATCAGTAACCTACGAAATATCTTCTACTCTTACTTGCCATGTTTCACAGCCATATAATAGGATTTGATTTTGACCGACTTGGTCTCGTGTGCTGTTACGGGTATGAGGGCGGTTATCACTTCCCGGCTGCCCACACCGTGGAAGGGTGTTTCTTGAGGAACCTGAAAAGGAAGATAGATTAGTGATGGTCTTGGAGACCTGGGTGCGTGACCTCAGAGCCCAAGGGACAACTGCTTGAGGCCGGTCACGCACGGCCTTTTGATGAAAGGTTTTTTGAGGATTAACTCCGCTCTTAAAGGCCTTTAGTGGGCACCCTCACCTCCGGAGACGGAAATCCGTGAGGTAGGGTGAGGTGTGACATTTTCAGAGTCGACCTTTTCTAACCCTTCCTTCCTTGTGAGAAGGCAGCATCGCTTCAGATGCTGGTTATCCGAGGGAAACACCTTACTGCTGTCACACCCCTCTACGGTCAGTCAGCAGTACGACTTCGCCCTCAGACCTTGAGTAGCTGCTTTTAGTCTCATCGTTCTCCACTCGACCTGCCTGGCATGGCAGATCCTTGAGGAACATATGTTGCAGTCAATATAGCTCGGTTGGGTCATCACGATTGGCAAGCGCGACCACCACGTCAAGGTAGCAGCTTCAGTCGGGCATATAATAAGATGGAGCCAACTGCTACGCAGTAGACTCGTCCTTTGTTTAGCAGACTGGATATCACGCCTGCCTCATAAGTGACGACGCTAGTTGGCAAGCTTAATCGAATGAAAATTTTTATTTCTGTGTTATTAAACTAATTTATGAATAATTAACTCTGAAAAGTAATTTATTATCACGTACTACTTGACTGATATAATTTAATTCAAACTAGGAAAACTTTTCTCCTGGATATATCTAGCCCTTATAATAAGTTCGTCAACTTTTACACAGCATTTCTAGGTAAAAATCATTCATTGTAAGAACATTTAAACAAATTCAGTTGCTCATTATTAAAGTGAACGAGTGAGCGTAATTGGATTTGACAATTAGGCATATAAAACAAACATGTTTAATTGAATTGAATAATGAACATGACTGATTTTAAAAAAACAAATGGATTTTCAAAATTTATCAATGACTAGTTTGTCATTATCAAAATGAAGAGATTATTACACATTTGAAATCATCAATCGATCATTGTTAGACCACACCATTAGAAACCTGGAAGCAGTGCAAGACGGCCGTTTCGTCCTGGTGTGGTTGGTACTCATCAGCAGTGCGCATCCACGATTCCTGCTCCTCGCAGGATTCGAACCCGGGACCTTTGGCCATTGTAGGCGAACGCCTTACCATCGGACCCCTGGGCCGGCATCCAGCGGATGTTAATGTCTAACTCTGGTTGATCTAGGGATTTTGCGCGACCTCACCCATTTGTCTTTGGTAGTTACTGCCTACACCGGACAGGGTTGAACTCCATTGGTCATGTCTTCTCAACCAGAACTCCGAGAATTTCCCCACGAAGCTTGTCACTAGTGAGCACTGTTACGATATTTTCGGGCACAGTTTTGTAGGTTTGCGTTTTTACACATTTGAAATCATCAATCAATCATTGTTAGACCACCTTTATTAGAAACCTGGAAGCACTGGACGGCCATTTCGTCCTGTTATGGTTGGTACTCATCAGCAGTGCGCATGCACAATGATTGATTGATGATTTCAAATGTGTAAAAACGCAAACCTCCAAAACTGTGCCCCAGAAGAGATTATATTATTTGGTAATCTACATATGTGTAAGTTGAAAACTCTTGTGAACACTGATCACCCATTCATGATTAAAATGAGATTATTTTTGAGTCACACAACAGCAACAACAACACATACATAGAACTGGAAACTTAACAAAAAGACGAAATGTAGAGTCATTACAGACGATAAAATTCTGAGAAATTCTCGATTTAGTACTTAATTTCAAAATTGTTTGGTTATTATTGACGGAATTTCAATGTTTTCTACCCATTGTCATAAAGCTATTTTACCATCAAACAACACTCACTCACTGTGATATTGAGTTACTTAAATTTATTGACTACAATTTACAAGATAATATATACAAAGGGGATTATCACTCACAAAGATGGAAGGTGTACCGCCCTCTCGTGAGTGTGATGTACTGGCTGATATGTGACTGATTACCTTTTCATAAGAGACAATAATTCCTCTTCAGAGATTTAAAAAAGCACATAAAAAGTTAATTTAAATTATGACAATTCCATACTGAAAATTGCCAATATCAGTCAATCAATCAATAGCAACGTAGAACTTCGTACTTACGTACGTACATCAGTTCATGTTGCCATACCACATTAGCACAGCGATGTAATTGACAATTCAAATCCAACAGAAGTAGAGGTAGTAGTAATTGGAGAGGTTAGGATTAGAAGATATTATTCAAGAAGTATAAAATACTGATATAGAGTTGAAAAGGGGAAGATAAACGTGATGAGGAATTAAGAAGTTTGGGATTTGCGAGAATACAAAGAATGAATGCACCTGCGCCATTGCAAACGGTTTTGAGCAATGTCAATCATGGTCTCTAACCATTGATTATTATCATCTCGCGGACCCCAACCAGGTATTCGACACTTAACGACATGACTCAGTCAACTTGTCAATGACTTCATGGATTTCTGTCATGTTTTGGTCTGGCCGCCCCTAACTTTCTTCCAACCTATTCCTACACCACAAAACAAAGCTCGACGAGGCAGTCGGTGGTTAGGCATACGCAGCAGATGTCCCAACCATCTCAACTGATGAAGTTTCATTGCTTCGTCTATTGATCTGCCATTCTTACCTAGCACCCGTTTCCTAATAACAGCGTTGCTCACTCGAGTGTCCCACGATATACGAGCAATGCTTCGAAGACACCTATGATCGAAAACCAATAACCGACGAACATCTTCTACTCTGACTGGCCATGTTTCACAGCCAACTACCGCACAGTACACTTGTCCTTTAGTTAGCAAACGGATGTCTCGCCTTCGCCATAAGTGACGCAAATTGGCGAAAGCCAATCGAACGTTCTATATCCGTGCAGAGATTTCGTCAGTCACCAGGCCATCGGCACAGATGAGACTCCCAAGATAAGTGAAGCGGTCTACACGTTCGACTACTTCACTCCCTATCACTAGTTCAGGTGCCGATGCAACACAATCTTGAAGCAACATTTTGCATTTCGAGGGGGAAACCTGCATCCCGAACATGCTTACACTGTTGCTAGGGTGGTCAGAAGACTCTGCATTTTGTCAACGTCTTCATCGGCATATTCTGAGTCTTTAATCGAGCCATCTGGTAGAAGGTCTACTCCTGAAAATTCACATGACGATAAGGTTATATCTTCCAATAACCAAAATTGTTTTCTTGTTTTTTATACAGTATCGTAGTATCGTTCAAAAACAGTTGTTATTTTTCTTCTCATAAGCGCATTCACTTTTCAACTAACTGCATGTATTCTACTACACATTGATTTCTACTCCATCCTCGCCTATCTGAATAACATTCCCCGCCCCCTCCCCCTTCATATTATCACCATTTTTTAGCGGAATGATTTCAGTTCATTCGTGTTTTGCGCTTCTTCAATTCAATCGCTCGCTGTTAACCAAAACTGTGTTTCTTTTATTTTATTTTGTGTGTGTGTGTTTATTATAGTGAATCTTTCCCAATTTTACCAAGTCAAACTGGTTGGTGTAAAGTATACAAACTACGTCCATTGCTTGCTAATAATCGACATAAACGTGGTCTGGCGCTGGATGGGAAATTAAAACATGAAGATACTAATCTTGCTTCATCTACAATGTAAGTTTGTATGTATGTATGTGTGTGTGATGTTTTTCTTGGCTAAAAAAATAAAACATGTTTTGATTGGAATCATGTTTGTTTGTTAACTTGTGTATATTCATTCAATGTTTTCAATTAGAGTTATGGAGATTAGTGTTTTTGCTCATTAAAATCATCAACCAATCATTGTTTGACAGCAACATAAGAAACCAGGAAGCCCTGAAAGCCTAGTCACAGTTCACATCCACGACTTTCGCGACCCACGGTCTTCGAACCTAGGACTTTCGGTTTTGCGCAAAAACGCCTAATTTTCTGGACCACTAGGTCGGCATCCTACAGTGTTAATGGAGTTATTGGAGTTCAACCATGTCGGGTGTAGGCAGTAACTGCCAATGACAAATCCGTGATGTCTCGCAAAATCACTAGATTGATTAGAGTTAGACATTTTCATACCGTTGGATGCTGGCCTGCCCAGTGGTCCAGAAGTTTGATGTTCGCACGCAAGACCGAAGGTCCTTGATTCGAATCCTGCGAGTAGCAGGAGTCTTGGATGCACACTACGACTAGGACGGAGCGGCTGTCTATCTATGCTTCCAGGTTATTTAATGGTAGTCTAACAGTGATTGACTGGTGATTTCAATGATTTATCACGACATATTTAAACTTACTTACTTACCTATGCCTGTTACCCCTAATAGAGCATAAAGGGCCAATCAGCATTCTCCAGCCTACTTTGCCCTTGACCTGCCTTTCCATTTCTGTCCAGCTGTTGTTCATTCTTCCTATATTTGTCTCCGTTTCTCGGTGTGATGTATTCTTTGGCCTTCCTCCTTTCCGTCGGAATTGAGGGTTCCAAGTTAGGGCTTGTCCTATCCACGTCCAGAGCTTCTTCCTCCACTGGAGTCTAGTTGAAATCAAAAATGATCACGGTTTTATTTTGATTGCTATCATCCAGTTTTTTTCATGATTGATACTTTGTAGGGTTATTTTAGAGGGACGTTAGATCTTCAGAACTCACTTTGAAAAGGTCCTTATTTTGGATTTTGTGTTTTCGCGCATGGGCTGATCAGTTGACCTTGAGATTACATTCCGCGCCCTTAGAAACTCCTTGACTGTTATTGGTTGATGTATTATTTTAGTACGCTATTTTTGTGACCCTCACAAGGACGTTTCTGTCATGTATAAATGAGCTCGATTTGTATGCTAGGCAACTTTGTACCCTTTGGGTGATTTTCGGATACATTCTCTACTCCTTATTAAGACTTCTTGATTTAGTTAACCGGGACTGGGACAGCGAATTAGAATAGCTTATCGTAACACTGTATCATTTGTATGCTCTCTCTCTCTCTCTCGTTTACCGACTAAGATGAACTCGTAATATAGCATTCAAGCATATCAATTGACGAGCATTCCAGGTTATGAGTGCTTACTTTTGTATCAAAAACGAATTACCGTAAAATTATCGATCATGTCTAACTGTTCAATTAGTAAAATACTCATAAAGAATGAATGATCTCTTCAAACCGATCAATTTTTCATTGATCAGTACTAACAATCATAATTGAGTGATTTTATTGGTTGAAAATCTGTGAACATGTTTTTTTTTCTACATTTTAAAGTCAATCTGTTCTCATTGTATGTTTTTTGATCAGTTGATCATAACCAATTATTTATTGAACATTGAATAATAATATGTTAACGTCTAGTCATTATTGATCAAATTCTACTGGTTTCATAATGCATAAAGCGAAAACTTTATTCAAATAATCGATTTTAAACATGGACACATGTGATTAACATAAAATATTTATCTCCATAGCTCTATTCATGTTTTGATTGTTTGAATTGACAATTGTTACGCCTGCACGTAAGTAAACACGTCAACTTGATATACTTGAACCATTATGAGTTTACCTAGTCGGAAAAACTAGAGCGAGGATCCGGTGACTTTACATGATACTCAAGTCCGATTATCCCAACCCCCATATTTAGTAAAAATGAGAAGACGTGATATGAAGTAGAACATATATTCTACAAGCATTCAGATGTATGACGTCCGAATCCAGAAGAGAATCAGCATCCCGGACTAGGGATCCGGGACCTGGTCCTGGTTCTGGTCGTAGTCATAAAACGTTACAGATAATGAGTATTTATACATTTTGGTCGAATAGGAAACAGCATCGAATTCTTTGGCATTGACAGTTATGACGACCAATAGGAAGTAACATTTGAAGTGACATTGATAGTCAGGACAACCAATAAGAAAGAACATTTGAAATGATATTGACAGTCTGGATGACCAATAAAAGACAACATTGAAGTACGTGACTTTGACAGTTAAAACGACCATAATTTTGACCAATAGAAATCGACCAATAGGAAATGACCAATAATTCTCTTAGGATATTGGATGAATATCCTAACAAAAATCGTTTTACTTTTTTCCTGTAGCGAATATTCAATGTTAAATATTCGATTGTAATATGTATTTTACCAAACATTAATTATCATCACATTGTCTATTGATAAAAAGAGGATAAAATACATACTAAATATATACCTCCTACTCTACTCTACTCTACTCCACCTGTAGCATCCTCTGGGGTTATTGTCGACCCCAAGGCCGGAAAAAAGGAGGAGGGTTAGCCAATCATCCTATCGCGTAGAAAACTAATTCTCTAGAAAAAAATAGTGACCACAAACTGATCGTAGTTATATTGCAATTAGAAAATGACTTGAAGCACTCATTGGATGGCCGTTTCGTCGGCAGTGAGCAAGCACTAATCGAAGCCAGGATTTCCAGTTTCGCACGCGAACGTCAAACCTGTTTGGCCACTGAGCAGGCGGCATCGAATGGATGTTAATGCTTAACTCCAATTAGTCCATGATGTTGTGCAACTTTCGTCCGTTGCCTGAGGTATAAGTCTGTCTCCTAGGTGACATGGATACGGACAACGTAACTGTACTCTACTCCACATGGAGCCCTCTCTGGGTGGGTACTACCGGTCCTAAGCACCGGATTTAAAGGAGGAGGGTTGAGTTATGGGCTTAGCCGATTTCATCCTGTAGAACACTAAGTGGCCACAAAAAGAAACGCTAAACAGAAGAAAAAATCATTCAAATTCTTGTTTAGACAAATATACTTATTCACAATATTTAACCCAAAGCTGAATTTTACTGATGAAGATAATTTATTTCTAAATATATATCTGTTGCCTTTGTCAGATTCTTTTTTCAGTCAAGTTTTAAACATTTCTTGCTTACTTGCTTACTCCTGTTACCCCTAATGGAGAGCATATGGCTACCAACCAGTGAATTAATTTTCTGGTTAGCGTTTTTTCTAGCGAGTTGGATTTCTATAGGATAGGGTCGCTAACCCCCACCCCCTTATGCTCAACCCTCTTCCTTTATCCAGCAGGCTTGAGACCGGCACTAACCCTAGAAAGGCTCCAGGTGGAGTTACAACTTGACATGAATTGAATAAACTGTCACTCATTTATGTATATTCCACTGTTGTGTACTAATACAATTAGCTGAAGTACAATCAACAAAGTTGTTGCGTAATAAAACTTTCGAACTGCTTCGCGAACAAGATTCATTGTACAACTTCAGAATCGTGTTGATTGTAGTCGGAAGGAAGCTAGGGGCGGCTGAACCAAAACATGGCAGAAGTCACTGACAAGTGGACTGAGTCATGTCGGTAGATGTAGACTACTTGGTTGGGGTCCGGTAGACGAAAGTCACCGATGGTTAGAGACCTTGAACAACATGGCTCAAAATCGTTTGCAATGGCCCCGGTGCATCCACTCGTTGTGTTCTCTCAAATCCTAATCTTTTGGATTCGTCATCACCTCTACCCCTTTGTCTTTCTAACCTTATCTCTCACTGAATATAAATATCTTCAAACCCTAGTCTTCTTCATTACCATTAATAATACCTCTACTATCTCTATCACTATGGTATTTGATTTGACATTTGCGTCTCTCTGTGCTAATGTGGTATGTCAACCTGAACTGATGTAAGCGCACGTACCAAGTTCTTACGTTGCAACTGACTGACTGACTGTAAAACAAAATATCACCCACATTTTTCTTTCCGTATTCAAAGTAGATTCTTATCGAATTTTCCTTTTTTGATCATTTCACCAGTATTTACAATCCGAATCATAAAGAAAATCTTGGTATGACTGTACAATATCGTGTAAAAGTTCGTTTAGTGCTTGGATTTGTGTCAAGGTGAGCGCGAGTATATGTTGCACATGTGTTTTTTTTTTAATTTTGATGAATTTGAATGTTAAACACACACCTTGTTGAACACATTGAACACTTTTGATCAATAGACATTTTAAAAAACAGTTAATCCGATTATAATAGAAGTTCAAGTTTCTTAGAATTAATTATATGTGACATGATACATTTTGAACAACAACAGGATTTTACATATTCGTTTTGTTATATATATGTATATCTACAAGCGGTGTAAGTTAACCAGACAGACAATCAGCACATTAGTGACTTTTTGTTAATAGACTGTTTTGAGTTTTTTTAAAAACCAACCAACCAAAAGTACATATTGATTGGCGCGAATTTTTTGAAAAAAATAATAACAGTGTTCAATTTGTATCATTTTCAATAAAGATTTGGATTATCACGTTGTTGATTGACATTCAGAGCTTTCGCTATGATTAGTGTTTGTTGATATAGGTACATCATATACGGATTGACTCGTTGTAAATATATAATTGTCTCAAGTTGCTTATAGTTTTTAGATTGTGACTTTCAGTAGAGTATAGATTGATATTTGAGATGGTGGAAAAAACTTGTAGCTCAGGTGGATGATTGTGGTGGTGTTTCGTTCTCTGAGCTGGGTGTTTTAGTTGTGGAGCTTTCTTTGTTCTTCTACTGAACAACATCATCAGCACAAACTTCAGATAGAAGAAGTGAAGCATTCGAATTTTTCCACGTTTGACCTGTAACCTGTTCTGTTAACCTCGATCTTGATTGGTTGCTGTTGACCTTAAACGTGTCGTCTTTTGCAACTCTGCCTTGATTGTATCTCCCTCTTTTGATCTGTTTCTTGATCCTATGTCACCTATGATTTTCCTGATTGGTTGATAAATTGGGTCATTGTCGATGTGTTTGTTGATTTCTGATTGACCTGAGTGCCAAGCTTCTAACAATTCCAAAACTTTATTCGCTCGAGCAAGTAGAATCTGCACTGCTGATACATTGAACGACGAATTCAAGCTTATTACCCACACTCTAATCAAACGGATATCCCGAAACGTTTATTGGTCATCAGAACACAACTATGACGAAGCTGATAGCAACTGATGTGCCCAAGAAACCAGTGTACCTACAGTTACCTTTTAAAGGTGATCATTGCATGAAAATTACAACCAAACAGACTGCAGCTGCAATAAAAAAGACGTTCAATGCAGCTAATCTGAGGCTTATCACAACAACCCAATCGATCTCAGTTACCCCAATCAAGTCTCCAAGACCGATTCAGTCCAAATCCCACTGTATTTACCAATTCACATGTAACTGCGGAGAAAGTTACTTAGGGAAGACAGATCGCCGATTGGAAGACAGGATAGGGGAACATATTCCAAAATGGTTAATCAAATCCATGATTAATCAACCTAGCCCATCATTTCAAAATCGATCAAGAAATCCAGCCTCGTCCATTGCAAAACATCTAATGATGAGTGGTCATCAAATTGATCCAAAATCAGCCTTTAGAGTTGTGACATGTAATCAAAACCCACACACACTGAAACTACTTGAAGCTATCTTGATTGGTCGTAAAAGTCCAACTTTATGTGTTCAAAAACAACTGTATGTTGACCTTTGTTTACTTACCATGGTTCTAGTGAGTGAATGTCATGCTGAATAAGAAATTTTGACCTTATCTTCAAAACTGCTGTATTTACACAAATAACATGTTGTTGTATGTGACTGACGAGAAAGCACGAAATGGTACTACTATCTCACAAAATATGTCTTCTTATTTCTCTATTCAAATTTATCAAAGGGAACCACTGTTTTGAATTCCTTAATGTTTTTTGTCCTCCACCTACCCAGTATTTCCACATTGTTTCAATCGAATGTGTGTCCATAATTGTCGGTGTGTATTGATATAAGCAAAGCGTTGTTGTGACGTTTGACTGCTAATTGATGTTCACGAAAACGGAGCTGAAGAGGTCGTCCACTTTGTCCTATGTAGTGTTTTTCGCAGTTTTGAGAAATTTATTTTGTAGATGATATTTGGTTTTTCTCCCTTTGTCATTTTGTCCTTCGGTCTGCATACAGGATTGATTGAAGTGATTCTGTTGGTTTGTGTGCCATACCTATTCCAAATGGTTTCAGTAGTCGTGCTGTATGCTCCTCCGATATGTCTTTGATGTATGGCAGGATGATGCGTTTATTGGTTCCTGTGCTTGATTTCGCTTCTGGTGATGGTTTCGGTTGATGTTTTTTAATGAAGTTGCGTGGATAGCCGTTCTTTTGGAAGATAGTCAGTCATCAGGTGTTTTTCCTCGTTTTTTTTAATGCTTCGTAGCAGCACATACGAAGCATTAAAAAGAACGAGGAGAAATTCGAATGCTTCACTTGTATCTGAAGTTTGTGCGGATGTTGTTATAGATTGATATGTATCGTGTGGATGTTCCTGCCTAATTATCGACTGCCTCGTCGAGCTATGTTTTGTAATGCAGGAGTAGGTTGGGAGGAAGCTAGAAGTGGCCAGACCGAAACATGGTACACATCCATGAAGTCACGGACAAGTGGACTGAGTCATGTAGATAAGTGTAGACCATATGATTGCGGTCTGCGAGGTGATCGTAGTAATTCGATGGTGAGAGACCTTGAAGAACCTGGCACAGGTGCATTCACTCTTTGTCTTCTCTCAAATTCCAATCTTCTGAATTTCTCATCATTTCTATCTTTCTCTTTCTAAATTTATCTCACTAGATTATACTTCTTGAATAATTTCTTCGAACCCTAGTCTTATCCTTTACCGCTTACACTTTTACTATCTCTCTACCACTATTGGATTTGAACTGACAATTGCATCCTTGTGCTAATGTGATATGGCAACCTGAACTGATTTACGTATGTACGTACGAAGTTGTATGTTCTAAATCACTGACTATTGTGTAAATAGTTCACTTTTTGTTTTTGGTAAATTATGTTAATTGTGATCCCGCTCTAGATGTGATATTCAAAGAAGAAATAAAGTTGTATCATGCGTAAAAATACTGTATGATTTACATGAAATGTGAAAAAATATATTTTATTCTTTAGACTGACAGATGTTGCGTGCATGACCAGAAGGTCCTGGGTTCGAATCCTGCGCGTAGTAGCAGGAGTCGTGGATGCACACTGCCACTGCTCATTAGCAGTCCCATACCATGACGAAACGGCCATCTTTCAGTGCTTTCAGGTTTCGAATTGTAGTCTAACATTGATCATCGATTGATGGTTTCAAAAAAAAGTAGTTTGAATAAATAACAATCAGCGTTAGTTAAATATTGTTTTCACTCCAACAATTCAAAATTGCCATTAGATATTCGATTTAAATATGGTAGGTAGCACAGTGATTGTAGCTATGCCTTGTGCACAAAAACCTACCACACTGTACGATTGTAAAATTGCAGAAATGCCTTTTATTTGAAATCATCAATCAATCATTGTTAGACCATCACCATTAGAAACCTGGAAGCAGTGCAAGACGGCCGTTTCGTCCTGGTATGGGACACATCAGAGACAGTGCGCATCCACGACTCCTGCTTCTTACTCGCAGGATTCGAACCCGGGACCTTCGCTATTGTGCGCGAACGCCTAACCATCGGCCATCCATTGCTTCCAGGTTTCTAATGGTGATGGTCTAATGATGATTGATTGATGATTTCAAATGTGTAGAAAAAATACTAATCTTCATAACTGTAGTTGAAAATATCGTAAAATCTGCTCATTAGTGAATAGCTTCGTGAGGAAATTCTCGGAGTTTTAGTGAGAAGTGAGTTCAACCCTGTCGGGTGTAGCCAGTAACTGCCAAAGAGAAATGAGTGAGTTCGCGCAAAATCCCTAGATCAATCAGAGTTAGGCAATAACGCCATTGGATGCTGGCCCAGTGGTCCGATGATTAGGTGTTCGCGCACAATATCGGAGGTCCCGGGTTCAAATCCTGCGGAATGCAGGAGTCGAGGATGTGCACTGCCACTGATAAGTAGTCCCATACCAGGACGAAACGGCCGTCTATCAGTGCTTCCAGGTTTCTAATAGTATGATCTAACAATCATTGATTGATGATTTCAAATGTATAAGAAAAACACAAACCTCGACTGTAGTTTAACATTTCTTCATTTCACTCTTTCAGTGATATCAGCGTCGAATTACCGTTTACATTGACACATCCAAAACCTGATCCAGAACTCAATGGGACTGCATTGAAACTCGCGCTTGAAGACAACGACAACAACAACGATGATGATGACCATGATGATAATGATGGCAATAATGCTAAACATCTTCGGCCTAATTTATCATCAGGAGATGAAGAGGAAAAATTGAAATATACACAGCATACAACTACCACCAACAACAACATAGCACAATCTCTATTGCATTCTAATCAGACAGAAGTAAATATAACCGATGATTTGATTAAATTGGATGATGGAATCAATAATGACAGGTTAGTTAGTTAGTTAGTTAGTAGTTGGCTATTGGCTGTTTTTGATCATATTGAATAAGCTTATATCTATGATCTTTTTTCGTGCATAGACCGCCGACTAGCATTCTTTAATCTACTCTCTTGTCCTTGACTTGCCTTTGGAGTTCTGTCTAAATTTTTGTTTATTCTTCTCATGTCTATCTCCATTTCTCAGCGTAATGAGTTCCTTGGTCTTCCTCTTTTCCTTCCAACATTGAGGGTTGCAAGTCACGGCTTTATCTATGACACATTTGGGTACTTTCTACAGTGTGTATCCTATCCACTTCCAGTGCTTCTTCCTGATTTGTTCCTCCGCTGGAATCAGGTTTGTCTTCTCTCATAGCAGGTTGTTGTTGGACAATGGATCAGAAGTATTTTGTATAGAAGACTATTGATTAATACTTGTGCTTGTGAATGATGTCTTTGGTAGTTCTCGAAGATCCACCCTGTCTAATTTTCGTTTATTCCTCTCATGTCTATCTCCACTCCTCATATTAATAATGTGTTCTTTGACTTTCATCTTTTTTATTTGGCCTTGAGAGTTCCAAGTAAGGGCTTGTCTTGTGATGCAGTTGGATGCTTTCCACAGTGTGTGTGTCCTATCCTACTTTCAGTGCTTCTTCCTGATTTCATCCTTCACTGGAATCTGGATTGTTTTCTCCCATAGTAGGTTGTTTCTGATAGTGTCTAGCCGAAGGTTCTGACGTTAGTTGACTTTTGGTTGTTTTTGATTATATTGAATAAGCTTTGTAAGTAGTAATAATGTGATTTAAACTAGTTATTCATATATATATCTATGGTGTTTGTTCGAGCATAGACCGCCGACTAGCATTCTTTAATCTACTCTCTTGTCCTTGACTTGCCTTTGGAGTTCTGTCTAAATTTTTGTTTATTCTTCTCATGTCTATCTCCATTTCTCAGCGTAATGAGTTCCTTCGTCTTCCTCTTTTCCTTTGACATTGAGGGCTGAAAGTCACGGCTTATCTGTGACACATTTGGGTGCTTTCTACAATGTGTATCCTATCCTACTTTCAGTGCTTCTTCCTGATTTGTTCCTCCGCTGGAATCAGGTTTGTCTTCTCTCGTAGTAGGTTGTTGTTGGACAACGGATCAGAAGTATTTTGTGTAGACAAGTGTTGATAAATACTTGTGCTTTCGGATGATGTCTATGGTAGTTCTCGAAGATCCACCCTGTCTAATTTTCGTTTATTCTTCTCATGTCTATCTCCATTCCTCATAATAATAATGTGTTCTTTGACTTTCATCTTTTTTATTTGGCCTTGAAAGTTCCAAGTAAGTGCTTGTTTTGTGACACAGTTAGCTGCTTTCCACTCTGTGTGTCCTATCTACTTTCAGTGCTTCATTCTTGTTTAATTTTATCATAGACATGCTCTTAGAAATAACCTTAGCCTCGTCTGAATTTTCAGGAGTAGACCTTTTACCTGCTTGGCTTGCTTATTAACTTAGGATATGCCGATGACATAGTCCTACTTGGTGAAGACGCTGACAAAATGCAGAGTCTTCTGACCACCCTAAGCAACAATGCAAGCATGTTCGGGATACAGGTTTCCTCCTCGAAATGCAAAATGTTGCTTCAAGACAGGATTGCATCGGCACGTGAACTAGTGATAGGGAGTGAAGTAGTCGAGTGTGTAGACCGCTTCACTTATCTCGGGAGTCTCATCAGTGCCGATGGCCTGGTGACTGACGAGATCTCAGCTCGGATACAGAAAGCTCGATTGGCTTTTGCCAACCTGTGTCACTTATGGCGAAGGTGAGATATCCGTTTGCTGAATAAAGGACGAGTGTACTGCGCAGTAGTTCGCTCCGTCTTACTTTATGGCTGTGAAACATGGCCAGTAAGAGTAGAAGATATTCGTAGGTTACTGGTTTACGACTATAGGTGTCTTCGAAGCATCGCTCGTATATCGTGGGACACCCGAGTGAGCAACGCTGTTATTAGGAAACGGGTGCTAGGTAAGCGTCGCAGATCAATAGATGAAGTAATAAAACTTCATCAGTTGAGGTGGTTGGGACATGTGTTACGTATGCCTAACCACCGACTGCCTCGACGAGCTTTGTTTTGTAGTGTAGGAGTAGTTTGGAAGAAAGTTAGGGGCGGCCAAACCAAAACATGGCAGAAATCCATGAAGTCATTGACGAGTGGACTGAGCCATGTCGGTAATTGTCGACTACCTGGTTGGGGTCCGCGAGATGATAATAATCGATGGTTAGAGACCTTGAATGACATGGCCCAAAATCTTTCGCAATGGCGGCAGTGCATTTATTCTTTGTGTTCTCTCAAATCCTAATCTTCTGGATTCTTCAACTTTGTAAACTTTTCCCACTGAATCATACTTCTTGAATAATATCTTCTAACCCTAACCTCTCCGAATACTTCTAGTACCCTTACTACTTTCACTACTATTGGATTTGAATTGACAATTACATCTCTGTGCTGATGTGGTATGGCGACATGAACTGATGTACTTACGTACGAAGTTCTACGTTGCATTTGACTGACTGACTGACTTTCAGTGCTTCTTCTTGATTTCATCTTCCACTGGAATCTGGATTGTTCTGTGCCACAGTAGGTTGTTGCTGATAGTGTCTGGCCGATGGATGTGACGTATTTTGCGTAGAAACTAAATAAACACTATTATCTTGTGGATGATGCCTTCCTTAATTAGCCTTCCAAGTTTCTGTCTTGACGTTTGTACTGAAAATTGTGACTCTGTTGTGGGGTTGATAGTTGTTTTGTGTTCCAGGTGTACATCATTTGTAGAAATAAAATGTTGTACCGATCCACACCTTCACATCTGTATCAAATCCACCTTGCTCATCAGTGATGCTGCCCAGATATGTAAATGTTATTATGTCATTCAAGGTATCTCCATTAAGTGTGATTTGGTGTGTTCATGTTGTGTTGTATCAGACGACTTGCTGCTGCTGAGACTTCTGTTACACTGATCGTCTTCCCCTGTATTTGTTGCTACGAGTGGGATAGAAGAGCCAGATCATCTTCGAAGCCTAGATGAACCATTTTTAGCTCAGGAATAATAAGGTTATTGTCACGAATGCACTTAAACACGTCAATTTCGATAATGCTTGAACTATTACGAGTTTAGCTTAGTCGGAAAACGAGAGCGAGGATCGAGAATCCGACAACACGACATGCTACTCTAATCACAGTTTCCTAACTCTCATTGAGTAAAAGAAGAAGACTTGATATGAAGTAGAACCTGTATTCTAAATGCATCCAGAAAGTACGAGGTCCGAGTCCAGAAGAGGATGAAGATCTCGGACTAGGGATCTGGGTGATAAAACGTTACAGATAATGCGTATATTTATACATTTCAGTCGAATAGGAACCAACGTTGAAGTCTGTGACATTAACAGTTAGGACGACCAATGGGAAACAACATTGAAGTACGTGGCATTGCTATCTAGGACGACCATAATATTGTCCAATAGGAATTGACCAAACAGAATTAGACTTACAAAAATAATTCTCTCAAGATATTTGATGAATATCCTAACAGGTATACAAAATAATTATTCCTATATCTATAATCTTTCATGATCTTCAACGACATGACGTAATTAACATAAACGACTAAGATAAAGCAAAACTGCCCCAGTGTTGCCAGTGATTTTTTTCCCACAGATCCAGAATATGAATGAGTGCACCTATTAAATAGGTATTTCGTTTTTATAAAACAGTAATGAAATACTTTTTGAAACCATGAGATTGATGACCGATATTAGATCAGCATAAGGAACCTGAAAACACTAAAAGATGACCTTTTCATCCAGGTATGAGACTACTTATCAGTAGCAGTGGCAGTGCACATCCAAGAAGACTCCCCCACAACCCGCAGGATTTGAAACCTAGGACTTTCAGTTTTGTGCGTACGAACGCCTAACACACCTCTGAACCATTAAGCCAGCATTAAAACAAAACACCACAATCCGCAAAAAATCACAGTTGAACTATATTCACGCATGCATTCTCTCAATTCAATGAATCAATCAATCTTTAGCTTTGATTGTAAAAAAACTTTTTCTTATGCAAACACACATGTGACATCATTCACACGCACACACACACACTGATCGATAGTTTATCACGAGGAGAGGCGACTAAGGAAGTAAGTAATGACACTTTCCAATCACGTGTTGGCAAAACTAACCAAATATATATGTGTGTAGTAATGTTTGCTTGTTTGTTTAAATTCAACATTGTACATTGAACACGTGAAAATTCAATGAAACTACTGATAAGGTGTGCATATATATTTCATTTCCAAGTTGAAATTTCACACTTTACAATATTTTACGAAAAAAACAGGAATATCATTCATCTTCCTAATCTATTGATCAACGCTGGTTAATAAAATATGTATTCGCTTATCTTGTTGATCTGAACCAATCATAATTAAACTGGAATTTTTCTTTAGATAACAAACAACTGTAGAGTTGAAAGCAACTTTTTCATCATTGTTTCTGTTCATAACATGTGGAAAAAAGCAATTTCCAGAGAGAGAAGAAAAGCTTATTACTGAAATCAATCATGCGTTGATCAATGTTAGACAACTATTAGAAACTTAAAAGCACTGGACGACCGTTTCGACCTAGTATGGGGCTTATCAGTCGTAGTGCGCATCTACGATTCCTGCTACTCACAAGATTCGAACCCTCTGCAGCACTAAGCCGGCATCCGACGGTGTTAATATCTAACTCTGATCAATCTAGGGATTTAGCGCAACCTCATTACATTGTCTTCGGTAGTTACTGCTTATACACAAAGACAATGGATGAGGTCGTGCAATACCTTGTACTGGATGCTGAATGCCAGATCAGAGGTCCGGCGTTCACGCACGAAATCTAAGGTCCTCAGTTCAATTTCCACGAGCAGTGGTCAGGGATTTACACTGCTGATGAGTCACATTCCAGGAATAAACGGCCATTCACTGCTTCCAAATATCTAATGTTAGTCGAACACAATGATTAATTCATTATTTCACTCATGAAACTACAATCTCTTTTTAATGAAAAAAGGAATATAAGTTTTTCGGAAAATTCTTTCTTAGGAAAAAAAAATTTATACACCAAAAAATTTGATTTATTATCTGTCAGTAGGCATTCTTCGTTGTTTCCACTTGCACATACATATGTGTGTACAAATGATCTCTCTTGCGAACAAATAAATGTTTAACATTGCTATGCGTATGTAATTCGTGCAAAATCTAATCCAATGTTGAATTTAGCATGGTTTTTATCTATCAAGGTAGTTAGTTAGTTAGTTAGTCAGTGAGGTAGTTAGTTGATGAACTGTTTATAGGATAAGTATTTTTTTATGTGTGTTTGTGTAAGTGTAAAACATTTCGGTGTAATTGTAATTGTCTGAAATTCTGCAAATGTCTTCTATCACTCACTGTGTGAAAAGTGTCGATATGGTATGTGTGCATGTGTGTATGTCTGCACCAAGAGGAGTGGAAAATACAAATTATAGATTTTTGAATAAAAAAAATACATTTTACTCTTAACAAACTAATAATATACTCCCTTGTTTTTGATAAGGCAAGGAAGATTATGTGGCAGTGTCAAACAGTGTTCGCTTTTTTTATGTAAGCCTAGGTAGGAGGTGATGCAAGAAACATGATAGAAATGGTATTCAAGTCTCGGGTTAATGTGTGTTAGAGATACTTACTTACTTACGCCTGTTACCCCCAATGGAGCATAGGCCACCACCGACCAGTTTTCTCCAACCAACTCTGTCCTGAGCTTCTCTTTCCAGTTCTGTCCAATTCTTGTTCAATTCTCTCATATCTTTCTCTATTTCTCGGCGTAATGTGTTCTTTGGCCTTCCTCTTTTCTTTTGAAATTGAGGGTTCCATTTGAGGGCTTGTCGTATGACGCAGTTAGGCGCTTTTCGTAGTGTGTGTCCTATCAACTTCCAACGCTTCTTCTTGACTTCCTCCTCAACTGAAAGCTGGTTTGTTCTCTCCTACAGTGTGTGAGAGATGATGAAGAAAATTTGTAGCGCTCCGTTGGATGAATGATTGTAGGAGAGAGGAGTTTGAACATTGAACTTTGTGCTACTTATCTCATTGATCATTTGAACTGTTCAATGTTCCAGTCATAGATCAATAGTCTTTTTCTAATGAATATTGATCAATACAACAAGTTGTAGCGCTCAGGCGGATGAATGATTGTAGGGGAACTTTTTGTGTTCAAAGGTTGTGGAGTTTAGAACACTAAATAACATCATAGGCAACACAAACTTTGGGTAGGAGTTTGTAGGTCAACCGGAAGTGAATAATCTAACCCCCAACAAAAGGATCAGATCTAATACTTCCTGTTTTTTTTCTTCAGGTTTACAATTCATTCTAAAATATTTTATGAGTTATTGTTTTGTTTCGCTGTACAAAAGTTTGAACATTGAAATTTGTACTACTTATCTCATTGATCACTTGAATAGTTCAATGTTCCAATCATAGATCAATAATCATTTCCTGATGAATATTGATCAATACATTAACTTCGGTTTCTTTTATTAGTCAGTCAGTCAGTCAGTTACAATGTAGAACTTTGTACGTACATACCTATGTTCAGGTTGCCATATCACATTAGCACACAGAGATGCAATTGTCAGTTCAAATCCCATAGTAGTAGAGGTAGTAGAAGTATTCACAGTAATTGAGAAGATTGGGGTTCGAAGATATTATTCAAGGAGTATAATTCAATGAAATAAACTTAAAAAGTCGAAGATAAAGGTGATGAGGAATTCAGAAGATAACAATCTGAGAGAATATAAAGCATGGATGCACTTGCGCCATAGCAAACGGTTTTCAGCCATGTCATTCAAGGTCTTTAACCACTGGTTACAATAGTCTGGCGGACCCCAACCATGTAGTCTGTAATCATCTACATACTAGTGGTAGAGATAGTAGAAGTATTAGTGGTAATGGAAAATATTAGGATTCGAAGATCTTATTCAAGTAGTCTAATCCAGTAAAACAACTTTAGATAGAGAAAGAAAGAGGTGGTGAGGAATTCAGAATATCGTAATTTGCGAGAACACATAGAGTGGACGTACCTGCGCGATTGAAAACGATTTTGAGCCATGTCATTCAAGGTTTCTAGCCACCGGTTTTCATCATCTTACGAACTCTAACCAAGTAGTCTTTACTTACCAACATGACTGAATCCACTTATCAGTGACGCATCATGGATTTGTGCCATGTTTATATAAGTCATGAAAGTCATAAAGATGTCGACCTATATATTCAAATATGTCATCGGTTAACTTATTGTACCCTAAATTAGAATACGTGCCAATATTTTTTTTTTGGTTGCTAAAATTACAAGGTGGTGGTCTTATAACCACCCCATGGTACACATACGTCTATCAACATTGACTCATTAAATTGTCGTTCCGTTTTACTAACAAGTAAAAAAGAATCTGAAAACACACTTTCAAAGTGAATTATATTCTTTTTAAGTGAAGTTACTGACTAGTTGCACTTAGTAAGTGGTTTAAGTAATACATTGACATTTAAAATGTGAACGTTATCGGCTCTAAGACTTAATAAAATCCTAGTTACATTTAGATGTCAAGTCCAATGTTAGACGAAACGCTAGTTCTGTGTTGCACTTCACAAATCGTAAATTGACTTTAAGAGACTACAAAGTCTCCAGTTTTTAACATGGTGGAGAAAATTTGTTTCTCAGGTGGATGATTGTGGCGGAGTTTCATTGTCTGAACTGGATTGGGTTCGGTTGTGGAGCATTCATTGACTGCTTGAACAACATCATCAGAACAAACTTCTGGTAGATAGAAGTGAACCATTCCAATTGCTCGATATATGTCTCTGTTAGTAGGATATTCATCCAATATCCTAATAGAATAATGGGCCAATTCCTATCGGTTAATTCCTACTGGTCAATTTTATGGTTGTCCTAGATATCAATGTCATTTACTCCAATGTTGTTCCTTATTAGTTGTCCTGACTATAATTGTCAGTTCAAATGTTGCTTCCTATTGGTAGTCTTAACTGTCAATGTCACAGACTACAATGCTGTTTCCTATTTGACCAAAATGTATAAATACGCATTATCTGTAACGTTTTACGACTAGGACCAGGACCCGGTCCCGGATCCCTAGTCCGGTATCCTGATTCTCTTATGGACTCGGACCTCGTACTTTCTGGATGCTTGTAGAATACGGGTTCTGATTCATATCAGGTCTTGTATTCTTTTACTCAATATGGGGTTGGGATAATCGGATTTGAGTAGCATATCGTGTCGCCGGATCCTCGATCCTGGTTGTTGTTTTCCGTCTAGGGTAAACTTGTGATAGTTCAAGTATATCAAGTTGACGTGTTTACGTGCAGGCGTTACAGTCTCGTAGCTTTTCGGTAGTCCTCGATCTTGATTGGTTGTGATTGACTTTTAACCTGTCGTTGTTTGCATCTCTGTTTTGATTTTGTCCCCTTTCTTCGATCTGTATCTTCTGCCGATGATTTTTCATTGATATGAAACTCAACTAGTTAGTACATACGAGTTGTCACTGGAAAAAGAAAGTGAATTTTATCATAAAATCAATATCGATGATAAAAATTAGTTTTGTATGCAGGAATGTATAAAATATTATAATAATCTTTTGAAAAATCGTGAATCGATCAATGTTAAACGACCATCAGATACCTGAAAGCATTGGACTGCCATTTGATCCTCTAGTATGGGGACTCATCAATGGCAGTGCTCATTCAAGACTCTCTCAGCCAACATCATTCGAACCCAAGACCCTAGGTCTTGCACGCGCGAATGCCTAAGCTCTCGACCACTGAACTGGCATCAATCAATTCCCGGTCTTGTGTGACGTCAGCCTCCTCTGTCTTCGGTGTGGATTGGACTCTACTGGTTCAGTCACTGACAAGTGGATTGACTCATGTTGGTAGATGTAGGCTACCTGGTTGAATACCGTGAGACGAAAGTCACCAATGGTTGGAGACCTTGAACGATATGGCTCAAAATAGTTTGCAATGGCCCCGGTGCATCCATTCGTTGTGTTCTCTCAAATCCTAATTTTCTGGATTCGTCAGCACCTCTACCCCTTTGTCTTTCTAACCTTATCTCATTGAATTATACTTCTTGAATATAAATATCTTCAAACCCTAGTCTTCTTCATCACCATTAATAATACCTCTACTATCTTTATCACTATGAGATTTGATTAGACATTTGCATCTCTCTGTGCTAATGTGATATGGCAACCTGAACTGATGTACACGCACGTACGAAGTTCTACGTTGCAACTGACTGACTGACTACTGGTTCAGTGCTTCCAGGTTCCTAATTGTGAGGTCTAATATTGATCGATTGATGATTTCTAAAAGTAATTCAACGTACTCCACAACTGCATAATAATACTTCATTCCTTTTTTGCTTTCTCTCTAATCAAAACAAATTAGTAAAACACCGTCAATCACTAATCGTATTGGTAGCGGCGGCGGCGGCGTTGTTGTTGACGATGATGACGATTTGATATTTGAAGATTTTGCTCGTCTACGTTTAAAAACTTATGAAGAATCTGATAGACATATGAAGAATATGACTGATTTATCGTCTACGGGGAATCTACCAACAACGATCACCAATACTCCGACAACAACAACCATGAATTCGACATGATTTTTTGCTGTACACATCAAAATGTCGACATCATGACAATGAATGATTGACTGATTGTTTTTTTGTTTATTTGAATATACTACTTATTTTTTACTACTGATATCCTGTATTTTCAAAACAGTGACATACATGCTTAATTTTGTTTCTTTTTAACTTTGATACATTGAAGACAATAATTATGAACTTAATTAACTATTAATTATGCTTTCTTTGTGTACTACTACTACTACTACTAACTATACTACTTACTACTACTGAGCAATAATGATGAGTAGTATTTCAAGTAACGTTTTTTTAAAATTCAATCATTTAAAAAATTTTATTCATGTTTTTACATATTCATATATATATATATATTTCACTGTAAAATTAGTAATCAGGCTAACTGATCGATTGATTGATGGGATTTTGAAAAAAAACTGACTGTTTTCTCTACACATTACTTTTTTTCGTTTCCTACTTGCTCTCTCTATCTCATTCTCACAAACTTTGTACTTAATTTGGGTTTTTTATTCATCCTGTGCGTGTTTGTGCGTGTGTGTGTGTGCCTTTTCCACCTTCGACATTGAGCTTCATTGGCATAGTTGTAAAATTACTTTTTTTCCTGCATAAATCACAAGTACCGCTTTTATTGATTGAAAAGCGCGCGCGCGCACTCACACACACACCACAAGGACATGTCTAAGTCAATTTATTTTAAACACAATGATTATCATCATCATCAATTACAGAAGAGAGATCTGTTCAGTGTCAATTTATTTTTTTACCAAAAAAAATGTAATTGATTTATGTAAAATATGTATGTGTGTATTTTAATTTATTGTATCCCTCCTCTATAATGAATTGCCGCTGATTTCATAGCCTCTTGTTTTTTTATCATCCAATCGTTATTTCATTTGTTTTTTTCTACTCTTCATTGTTTTAAATCATGTTGTTGATCAAATGTTGTGTGAGATGATGATCGATTTTCTCTTGGACTGATTGCGCTGATCTTTTCGCATTGACTGATTGATTGATTTTCTTCGTTACCTGTTTGATCATAATGACACTGTGCTTTCTATCATTATCATGATTAATATTTTGTGTAAAATTGTAATAAAAGTGAGAAAGATTTTGTGCAGAGCAAATATTGAACAATGAACACAAATCTCAATGGGGCGGAACAATGAATGGATGAATGTGAAGTTTTTCTGTTTTGTAATTTGCTTTGCTATCCAATATCAATATCGATTTTACATATATATATTTATATATTTTTGAAAATTTTATGAATTGTGTTTTTTTTGTTTCATTGAAAATTGATATGGTTGGTTGAATGGTATTACGGCGTTCACACCGAACTCGATAAACGGAACGAAGGTCAACGAACGATACAGTGATACGATAGGCTATTCTAATCCGTTTGTCCCAGGGGCACCGCTTGTATGCGGTTGCCACTATGGGGGATTACGACTGAACGCCTCTAGGTCCGAATCCCGTCCGCTGAGTGTGAATTACGTTTAAGGGATATGGCTTTCTAGGATGCTTGAAGGCAGTCCTAGACGATTTGTTTGGGGAAGCAGCCGTAAAGATCCTGGACTATCGGCGCCGACCGTATGTGGTTGTCCCTTACACTCTGCTTCCGATGTAGTGGGTGAACTGGCGTCGAAGACCCTTAAACAAGGGTCTTCAGTATGGTTCCGGGGTTCCAGTGCTGCACTGGTACTGGACACCAATGATGTCGGCCTACGTCTGTGGGATGAACCCTGTTTGGCCGAGCGCTTGCGCTTGGTCTAGCTCTTATTTATACAATGGTATCCAAGGCCTTGGAAGAGCCACAAAATAGCGTACTAAAACAAACCATCAACCAATCACAAACAAGGATTTTCCGGGTGAGAAATGTAAGCTGTAGGTCAACTAAGCGTCTCTTCGCTCGAAAACATACACCAAAAATCAAAACCAGGACCTTTTCCAAGTGAGTTTTGGGTATGTAATAGAAATTAAAAAGTAGTACAGTCATACAAATGTTTTAAAAAGAATGTTGAAATACAGAAACATGTTATATTGTCTTTGACTGATATCAAATTCTAAGCTGTTTCAAAGAATTTTTGAACTATGATATGCAAACTAAAGTATTGTGTTTCTCAGTTTATTCATACAGAATGTAAATAGCTAACTGTATCTCAAAAAAAACTTGTTAGGGAAAGAGTACTAGGTAAGGATGGCAAATCAATAGATGAAGTATTGAAACTTTATCAGTAGTGGTAGTTGGAACATGGGTTACGTATGTTCAACCACCGACTACCTCGACAAGCGAGGTATTGTGATGTAGGAATAGGTTCAAAGAAAGCTAGGAGCGGCCACATCAAACCATTTCACAAATCTATGAATTCACTTACAAGTGAACTGAGTCATGTTGACAGCTGTAGACTACCTGGTTGGAGTCCGCGTGACGTCAGTAACCGATAGTTAGAGAACTTGAATGACATGGCTCAAAATTGTTTGCAGTGGCGCACGTCCATCTAATCTTTGTGTTCTCGCAAATTCTAGTCTTCTGAATTACTCACCACCTTTCTCTCTTCTCAAATTTGTTTCACTGGCTTATACTTCTTGAATAATATCTTCGAACTGTAATCTTCTTCATTACCGCTAATACTTTTACTACATCTACCACTATAGGACCTGAATCGATAATTCAGTCTCTGAGCCAATATGATACGGCATCTTAAACGAATGTACGTACGTACGAAGTTCTACGTTTGAGATGACTGACCGACAAACAAAAGACTTGTTTAAGTAATAGGTCATTTTGTAGATTAGTTGTATGTCAGTCATAATGCCTTACTGTAGCGTAAAGGATTTGAATTGTAAAGATTAAATCTTACTAATGTATAGAAAAGATCAAATGTGATTAGGTATTTGAATCTCAAAGGCGCTATCTACCTTAAATAGAATTAGTCAATTAGATATATCTACATCTTCATGTTATCCTCTACTTGTGGAAAAGCATTACTTTTATTCAGATATTATCAAATAACTAGTTGAAAGTATTCAGAAAATGTACTTGCTTACTTACTTACTTACTTATGCCTTTTACCCCCCAATGGAGCATAGGCCGCCGACCAGTATTCTCCGATCTACTGTGACCTGGGCTTGTATTCCCAGTTCTGTCCATTTTTTGATCATGCTTTTCATATCTGTCTCCGGTTCTCAGATCATTGTGTTCTTTGGCCTTCCTCTTTTCCCATGAATTTGAGGGTTCCATGTTAGAGCCTGCTTCGTGACACGATTGGATGCTTTCCACCAACTCCACAGCTTCTTCCTGATTTCCTCCTCCACTGGAATCTGGTCTGTTCTCTCCCACAGTAGATTGCTGTTAATGGTGTCTGGCCAACGGATCCAAAGTCTTGTGCGTAGCCAACTGTTAATAAACACCTGTCTCTTGTGAATGATGGCTTCCGTACTTCTTCAAGATCCCGCTGCATGTATTCGAACTGTCTTGACATTTGTATAGAAAACTGTGGCTGTGGTGTTGAGCGATAGTTGTTTGGAGTTCCAGATGTTGTTCCGTAGTAGAAATTCAGCCATTGCCTTGCCGACTCGTGCCTTCTCATCTGCATCAGATCCACCCTGTTGATCAATTTCGCTGATCAAATACGTAAAGGTTTCTACTTTTTCTAAAGCTTCACCGTCAAGTGTGATTTGATTTGTTCATGTTGCGTTGTATCGGAAAATTACGCTTTTCGTTTTGTGTATGTTGAGACTTACTACTGCTGCAGAAGCTGCTGCCAAACTGGTCGTCTTCTCCTGCATTGTTTGTTGCATGTGCGTTTGAAGATCCAAGTCATCCACGAAGCCCAGATCGTCCGGCTGAGTCCTAGCTGTCCACTGAATACTGCGCTTCCCTCCAGATATTGATGTCTTCATTCTTAGTAATCATGAAACCGACTAGCTATTCCATCTCAAAAATGATCATTTATGCAGGATCTAGCTGTTAACATGTATCAGTCGTCAGGTGAACTTGTAGCGGTACTCAGGTTGTAACAGAAATCTAGTGTCATATACATAGTGATCAAATATTGTAAATAAAAACAGTAATCGCTTCGATATTCATGTTTTATTATCAAAATCTTGTTGTATTTACCTTATCGTTTTGTTGATTTTAGCGAATAAAGGATATATATATATATATATACATATATACTGCCTTACGCCTGTTAACCCCAATGGAGCATAGGCCACCACCCACCAGTTTTCTCCAACCAACTCTATCCTGGGCTTCCTTCTCCAGTTCTGTCCAATGTTTGTTCATTCCTCTCATATCTTTCTCTATTTATCGGCGTAGTGTTCCTTCGCCTTCCTCTTTTCCTTTTGCCTTGAAGGTTCCATGTGAGGACTTGTCTCGTGCTTTTCGTAGTGTGTGTGTCCTATCCAATTCCACCGCTTCTTCCTGATTTCCTCCTCCACTACAATCTGGTTTGTTCTCTCCCACAGTTCGTTGTTGCTGATGGTGTCTGGCCAACGAATCCGAAATATTTTGCGTAGACAACCGTTCCTAAATTCTTGTATCTTCTGGATGATGGCTTTCGTAGTTCTCCATGTTTCCGCTCCATACAGTAGAACTGTCTTGACATTTGTATTGAAAATGCTGATTTTGGTTTTGGTTGAAAGTTGTTTGGAGTTCCAGATATTTTCCGATTGTAGAAATGCAGCCCTTGCTTTGCTGATCCGTGCCCTCACATGTGGATCGGACCCACCTTGGTTGTCGATGATGCTGCCCAGATGTGTAAAGGTGTTAATGTCCTCCAAGGCATCCCCATCAAGAGTGATTTGGTTGGTGCATGTCGTGTTGCATCGGAGAATTTCGCTTTTTCCTTTATGTATATTGAGACCTACTGCTGCAGAGGCTGCTGCTACACTGGTCGTCTTCTCTTGCATTTGTTGTTGCGTGTGCGATAGAAGAGCCAGATCATCTTCGAAGTCTAGATCGTACAGCTACGTCATAGCTGTCCAATGAATACTGTGCTTCACTCCAGATGCTGAGTTCCTCATGATCCAGTCGATCACCAGGATTTATATATATATATATATATATATATACACACTTACTTATGCCTGTTACCCACAATGGAGTATAGGCCGCCCACCAGTTTTCTCCAACCAACTCTGTCCTGGGCTTCTCTCTCCAGTTCTGTCCAATGTTTGTTCATTCCTCTCATATCTTTCTCTATTTCTTGGCATAATGTATTCTTTGGCCTTCCTCTTTTCTTTTTGCCTTGAGGGTTCCATGTGAGGGCTTGTCTCGTGACGCAGTTAGGTGCTTTTCGTAGTGTGTATCCTATCCACTTCCACCGCTTCTTCCTGAATTCCTGATCCACTGGAATCTGGTTTGTTCATATATATATATATATATATATATATATATATATATATATATACAAACTGGTTAATCATTCCATTTTGGAAATGAATTACATAACAGAATGAAACAATTTTTCATTAAGGAGTTTTGGAGATTGTTGCTTATTACTGAAACAATGAATCAGTCATTGTTAGACCACAATCGGAAACCTGGAAGCACTGAAGGACAGTCGCTTTGTCCTGGTAGGTGTCTCATTAGTAAGGCGGATCCACAACTACTGCTATTCACAGGATTCTAAACCAAGGACCTTTGGTCTTACGAGCGAGCGCTGCAAATGCCGGCCCTGTGGTCCAGAGTTTAGGCTTTTGCGTGCAAGACCGATGGACCTAGGTTTGAATCCTTTGAGTGACAGGAGTCGTGAATGCTCACCGCTGATGAATCCCATACCTGGACGAGATGGCCATCCAGTGCTTTTAAGTTTCTAATGGTACTGTCACACGGATTGATTCATGGATTTAGTAATAAACAACAACCTACGTAACTCGCACAATGTGCTCACAAGTGATTAGCTTCGTGAGGAGACGTGTCCAGTGGATTTCAACTCTTTCGGCTGTTGGCAGTTAGCCATCCAAGACAATGGGAGAGATTACATGAAGTCCCTAGAATGAACATTACCTTGAAACCAAATGCTTGTATACTGATGAAACTGACGAACATTTTTAAAATCCAGTTCACTTTTAATCAATCTTATGACTGCAATTTTCTTTAGGATACTTAATGTTTTATACGCATCAAAGGAAGTATTTATCAATATAATTCACCTGAAAATTAAAGGAAATTTTCACTGAAATCATGAATCAATCACTGTTAGACTAGCATCATTAGAAACCCGGTGTTCCGCCTGCACGTAAACACGTCAACTTGATA